GCGGGGGAGGGGGGAGGCTGGGAAGGGATGGGAAGGGTAAACAAAGGAGGAGGCTGCAATGCTTGGTAACAAATGTACGGATTATCCTGCCCATGCAATTGTAACCCCTCTGTACAGTATGTTCACAAATAAAATAAAATTTAAAAAAAGAAATGAGTAATGAACCCCTAAGAAAACTGAAAGGTTAACTCCAGGAGCAATACAGTTGTATTAAAAGACAATCTTTGTGGCTCACACCTATAATCCTAGCTGCTCAGGAGGCTAAGATCTAGGAAGTGTGACTCAAAGCCAGTGTGGGCAGGAGAGTCCATGAGACTCTTTTTTTTTTTTTTAATTTTGACATGCAGGTGAATTTACTTAATAACATCATACTTCATTAAACGATGTCTTAGTTTTGATGAACAGACCTCGCCAGGGTTAATATATTAACATTTAGAAGCCCTGAAATCACGTGAGGGACATATGAAGACTGCCCTGCATTTGAAATTTTCCTGTAAAACAAAATTGATTCCAGAATAAAGAAAAAACTCCAGCACCATGAGACTCTTTAACTATAAAAAAAAGCTGGAGGTAGAACTGTGGCTGGAGTGGTAGAGCACTAGCCTTGAGCACAAAAGCTGAGGTACACAGCCCAGAAACAGTACCCAGACCATGTGTTTAAGCCCAAGGACCAGCACATAGAAGTTGTAATGATCGTTTTTATAAAATATGACTCAAGTATGATCGAAAACTACTGATTTCTATTTAAAATTCTGTAGTATTGAGCTAGACACCTGGGCCACTAGAGTACCTAACAAGAAGGACCTGGGGCGGATGGAAGGAAGGCAGGGAAGGAGGAAGGGAGGGAGGGAGGAAGGAAGGGAGGGAGGAACAAGAAGAAGAAAAAGAAATCTGTAGCATTATTTGAAATTTTAATATTATCTTGATTTAGACAAAATAATTCATGCCAAGCACAGTGGCTCATGCCTGTAATCCTACCTATTCAAGAAGCAAATCACCATTCAAGCCTAGACATAAAGATCAAAAGACCTTCACATCAACCAAAAAAAGGCTGAGCATAGTGGTTCATATCTGTCATCCTAGCTAGATGGGAAGCATGGTCAAGAAGGCTTACTGTCCAGTCAAGCCTGGGCTAAATTTGAGACTCTGTTTAAAAAAAAAAAAAGCTAAAACAAAAAGGCCTGGTTTTTGTGGCTCAAGTAGTAGAGCGCTTCCTAGCATGCACAAGCCCTGGGTTCACTCCCTAGTACCAAAAAAATATTGAGTGGTGGGTGGCTCTACTGCATCCCCTGTACCACCAGGCTGCAGGGCTATGGTCTGTTTGAACCAGTTAACATACAAGAGGAATACACAGGGTCAGAACTGCAACTTAAGAATCATGATCAACCTGCAGCAAACCCCAAAAATGCCTGCCTGGACGCCAGCCCAGATCTGTCTGCTGAAGATGAACATGTGGAGCCCGGAGTGGCTGAGATAGGAGGCCCTGAGCCTAGGACACGTCTCTATCTGTGGTTCCAGACGAGATACTGCGGCAGCTGCTCAGGTGGACACGGTGGCTCTTCTGCTGAGGTGAGCACTCCCCTGGCATTTCATAGCATAAGTAGGAAATAAGGAAAAACTGTTCAATGAAGATGGCTGCCTGTCCAAACAGGGCCTTGCCCTGTCCTAGGTCACAGACAAAAGGTCCATCCATAGGACAAACACCACCTGAGAGATGTATCCAAAAAATAAGCCTGGGGGCCAGCCACCAAATAACAACTACTCCCTCTTCCTAAGCCAGCTCCTTCATAGGGAAGCAGAGCACAAATAGGCCTTATTCATACAAACTACAGGATGTCAAATTCTGCCCTGCATACCCAGCCTGGGTGTGGTGCAAAGCTGTGTGCTGCCCTCTCTCTGTGCATGCCACTCCTTATTCTGAGTGCAGGCCTTTGGCAACTTCCTGCACACTTCTGGTCGGATGGATTTGCTGGTAGAGGATAGAGAGGACAGAGAGGACAGAGAATGTATAGATAAGCTGGACAGCAGCACAGGAGTTAAGGCTTCATCCTCATCTGCATCCAACACCACAGAGCTAGTTACCAACAGACAAAGAGTGAGGACAGAGAAACATGCCCAGCCACCACGGAGCACGCCTTACAGAGCAAGCGTTCCAGCAGGAAGCAGGTGCTGAGGATTATGCCACTCTGTTGAATCTCTAGTTCACAGAATGCCTCTGCATAATCTCAAGTACAGGAAACTTCTACCAAGAAAGACCTCCAGTTAGAAACTTCCAAACTTACCTTTTCTTCTGCTGAGACATCAGCCATCTTAGGAAGTGGAGAGGGAGCACGCTTTTTGATCAACAACAGAACATCTAGAAAAAAAATAGGATTTATGTCTATCGAGCCAGTTTCCATTTCATAGTCATAAATAAGATACAGGAGCCAAGCTCCAATGGCTCACACCTGTAATCCTAGCTACTAAGGAGGCTGAGATCTGAGGATTGCAGTTCGAATTCAGCCCAGGCAAGAAAGTCCTTGAGAGACTTTTTTTTTTTTTTGGGGGGGGGGGTCTGGTCATGGGGCCTGAACTCTGGGCCTGGGCACTGTCCCTCAGCTCTTTAGCTCAAGGCTAGTGCTCTACCACTTGAGCCACAGCACCACTTCCGGCTTTTTTTCTTTTTGCATATGTGGTGCCTGAGGAATCGAACCCAGGGCCTCATGCATGCAAGGCAAGCACTCTACCACTGAGCCACTTTCCCAGCCCAGTCCTTGAGACTTTTATCTCCAATAAACTACTCACAAAAAGCCAAAAATGCCACTGTGACCCAAATGGTAGAGCACTAGCCTCAAGTGGTAGAGCACTAGCCTAGCTTAGGGACAGTACCTAGGCCCAGAGTTCAAGCCCCAGAACACAAAAAATAAAAACAAATAAATAATTAACTACAGGGTTCTATCCTGAGGATAGAAACACAGGGGATCCCTCTGCCCCCCCCCAACCAAGCACACCCATCCTTTCCCAGACTTTGCGCTATCTATATAACCCTGGCTGGTAAAAGGCTCAGGCCTGGGGACACTGACCCAGGAGGTAGGCCCAGCTCAGCTCTGATGACACCAAAAACTAGAGGAAATCTTGTTCTCACTTCTATGGGCTCATTCTTGAAAGTCTATGAGACTGGAAAGTTTGGACTTAATCCTCAAATCAAACAGCCTGAGTGTGGTTAGTTCATAATTCACTGTGGCAGGTTGCCTCCTATCCAGTTTGAGTCTGATGGCACTGTGAAAGCCTATGAGCAAAAAGTACTACCAGTGTGTTCCAGAATTCAAGTCATTATCTGACTGGAATAAATAAATAGAAAATAGAGTATTTCTTGTGTGTGCCTACACACAGAGAACTATGTGGTGAAGTAGATATATACACAATAAACACATCTCTCTAGCCAGGCGCCCGTGGCTCACCCTTGTAATCCCACCTACTCAGGAGGCTAAGATCATGGTTCAGAGCCAGCCCGGGCAGGAAAGTCCATGAGACTCTTACCACCAATTAACCACTAGAAAATGAGAAGTGGTTCAAGCCCCACAACTGACTCCCCCCCAAAAAAATCTGTCTAGCTGGGCACAGTGGTTTTACACCTGTAATCCTAGCTTTTCAAAAGGCTGAGATCTGAGGATTTCATTTCAAAGCCAGCTTAGGCAGCAGTGAGTGAGACTCATCTCCACTAAACTACCCAAAAAGCCAGAAGTACAGTTGTGGCTCAAGTGGCAGAGCACTAGCCCTGAGCAAAAAGAGCTCAGAAACAGACCCTACATCCTAGTTCAAGCCCCAGGACTGGCACCAAAAAAAAAGAAAGAAAGAAAAGAAAAAAGAAAGAAGGAAAGAATGTAGTAAAGACATCTCTAATATGCCTGAAATCACCACATTTCCAACCCAAAAATAAAACCTGAAGAAGCTCCAGAAAATGATTTTGCTTTGAAACAGAATTAAAAATAAAGCTTGCATTTGACTTCTCAGATGTTTCTGCTTGCTCAATTTTGGTTCTTGCTATTTTTCACAAACACTCCATGACATGCACATTTTTTAACTAAGAGAAAAAATGAAACTGGAGTCAATCTGCACTCTTGTTCATATCCACCTTAGACCTAGCCCTGGGCCAGCCAGAGCTCCCAGGTGATGGATACCACCTGTCCCCCGACACCACCTTACCTTTGTCTTGGACGTTTTCTTCCAAGATTGTTTTGGTATCGTTCAGCACCCTCTCTGAAGCAGCATGTATTAATTTATGATGAGTTACATTTTTGGGATCTTCTAAACTCCCATGAGCACACTGGGAGAAAAAATCCAAATAACACATTTCTAATTAGAAAATAAGTCTTGAGGGACATGGCTCAAGTGTATCATAAGCGTCTTAGTCTAATCCCATGTATCAACACAAAGCCAGAAAAACAGAAAAGTCTTAACACTAGGAACACAGAATGACTGATTTTCCTCACTACGGAAGATGTTCAATCATAAAAGGCTCAAAGGATCCCCACTGATGACAGAAGCCAAGTGAAACATAAACAGGCGTGATCCCCTGAGGCCCTTGCGGTCACCCCAGCTGACTCCTGAAACGGGCAATTTACAGCTTGGACACTGACCCACACACAAAGTAATGGCAACCTCAGACTAGGAAGGTGGCTCAGCGGTAGAGTGCTTGCCTAGCATGCATGATGCCCTGGGTTCCTCAGTACCACATAAGTAGAAAAAGCCGGAAAGTGTCACAGTGGCTCAAGTGGTAGAGTACTAGCCTTGAGCAAAGGAAGCTCAGGGACAGTGCCCAGGCCCTGAGTTCAAGCCCCAAGAATGGCTAAGAAAAAAAAAAGTAATGGTAACCCTAATTGCTTCTTGAGTCTGGAAAAACTAAAAGGCAATTTTGAAATGAAAATAGGCCCACTGCTCCTGATAACACAAAGATCTGGGTATGTTAGCTGTGCCCTTGTTCTGTCTTGCACAGACAGTTTGTTGTACACTTGTTCTTTCTTGCATACTTTGCTGCGCTCTTAGGCTTTCTTGAACAGCTTCTTGTGCTCTTGTTCTTTCTTGCAGTTTGTTGTGCTCTTGTTCTTTCTTGCACCAACAGTTTGTTGTGCGCTTGTTCTTGCACCAACAGTTTGTTGTGCGCTTGTTCTTGCACCAACACTGTTTGTTGTGTACTTGTTTCTTGCAGTCACTGTTGTGCTCTTGTTCTTTTTTTTTTTTTTTTGCTTTTTTTTTGCCGGTCATGGGGCCTGAACTCGGCCTGGGCGCTGTCCCTCAGCTCTTCAGATCAAGGCTAGCGCTCTACCACTTGAGCCACAGCACCACTTCCGGCTTTTTTCTTTTTGCTTATGTGGTGCTGAGGAATTGAACCCAGGGCCTCAGGCATGCAAGGCAAGCGCTCTACCACTGAGCCACCTTCCCAGCCCTCTGGTTCTTTCTTGCACAGACACTGTTATGCTCTTGCTTTTTCTTGTACAGTGTTAGGTGTGCACTTGTCCTTCCTTGCACAGACACTGTTGTGCACTTGTGCTTCCTTGCACAGACACATGAAAGGAAGTGAGGGGCAGTACAGCAAGAAGAGTGATAATCATCCCAGAGATAAAGAGTTGGGACTGAGCCCTGCAGTTTGCACAAGAGCCTGTGACTAGCCTCACACTCAATAGGCCTGCATGCTCACATACAGACCCAAAGACACAGTTGTGTAAATCCCTAAGGCCCTGGAAAGCTATAACAGCCCACCTGTAGTCGTGGGGAGAATGGCCACACGGGCACCCCACAGCCATCCCAGACTACAGGTGACTTGAGATGCCACCTCAATTGATATTGACTTCAAACTCCAAGAGGGACAGGCAGACACTTGTAAGACCCCTCCCATCCAGTAATCAATATCAGCAATCTCAGAACCAATTGCTGGGCCCTGGCAGACACTGCTCATCCTTTCAGCCAGGATCCAGAAAATAATTCATGGCCACCCAGAATCTAGACACACCTGTCTTTGGATTACAGAAGATCTGCTGCTTCAGACAGTGCCTACCTACCACCTCTCCAACTGCCAAGTGCATGAAGGCCAAGCAAGACTATCATTCACCTATGCTGGCGCCACGCAGTGAAGACAGGCACACTCCAACTCCTGTATGATCAGGCGCCAAGACTGTGCACTTCACCACTGTCTATCAGTGCCATGCAGCCACTCACACCCCATGGGCCACACATCACTCAAGACAACAGTGCCATCTAATCAGCTGTGGCTCCTCCCCACAAGTCAGAACCCTGGATTGGGGGGGTGTGGTGGATCACAGATGTTTCTTAGCCTGCACGGACGATATCTACTCTGGGACTCCCTGGGTTGATGGCCGAGGATATGTGAAAGGTAAAGAGAAGAAGCCCAAGAAGCCAGGCAAGACAGCTCACTGGTGCTTCCACACCATGGTAGGGCGGGCACAGCCAGGCTGGAGGCGGCTGGGCACCAGGCCAGGTCATACAACCCAGGGCATGGGGCATGGGCCCTGGGGCCTTCACAGCTGGTGGGCAGCTGTGCCAACCCCCACTAAACTTCATAGAGGGGGACCTAAGACACCTTGCAAATCCAACTGCTGGCCAGAAAGAAGAAACAACCCATTCATCTCACATTTGAAATTGTTTTGAAAAAGGATCATGAAGGGGCTAGGAATGAGGCTCAGCAGTAGAATGCTCGCCTAACATGCATGAAGCCCTGGGTTCGAGTCCTTAACACCACACAAACAGAAAAAGCCAAAAGAGGCACTGTGGCTCAAGTGGTAGAGTGCTAGCTAGCCTTTAGCAAAAGAAGCTCAGGGACAGAGCCCAGACCCTGAGTTCAAGCCCCAGGACTGACAAAAAAAAAGGATCATGAAGGTTTCAGGAGTCAACACACAAACTGGCAAGGAGCACACAAGGGGTAATCCATCCAACAGTAAGCTATCTTCTTCCCATTGGGACACAGCAGAGCACCCCAAAACTCCCCTAGAACTTGGCCAAGGCTTTGTGTCAGAGGTGTTAGGTGTGACTCTTTATAATTTCTAAAACTCTTGACTAATTCTAGACAATTAGAACCCAGCCTATGAAGCAATTTTCCAAAAACAATCATCACCTCGGTTCCCCAAACCCTGGTTCTACACCACACTCCACGATGCCAATACTGTCTTTGCTGCACGCTGAGATGTGCAGGCCAGCGCTGAGGCAGGGCGTCCCCAGTGCCCCCTGCGTCCCTTGTCCCCGCATGTCTCAGAGGAACGCGGGCTCTACTCACTCCAGGTACTGCTGTCACTTGACGATGATGGTAGCTGAAGCTTAATAGAGCTTAGGAAACTTCAGCAGCCATGTGTGGAGTTTTGTGCTCTGTTCTAGCACCTGCCACCCTGAGAAACCCTATGTTGCCATGCTGTAATCTCAGCATGTGGGAAGTGGAAATTCCAGGCCAGTGCAGACTACATTATGAAGGCCAGGCAGGCCAGCCACGGCTACATAGTGAAACCCTGTTTCAAAAGTAACAACAAGCTGGGTGCTGGTGGCTCACAACTGTAATCCTAGCTACTCAGGAGGTTGAGGATCATGGTTCAAAGCCACCTCGGGCAGAAAAGTCTGTGAGACTGTTATCTCCAACTAGCCACCCAAAAAGAAGTGATGTGGCTAAAGAGATAGAGCACTAGGTTTGAGCAAAAAAGCCAAGGGACAGTGCCCAGGCCTGGAGTTCAAGCCCCAGTACCAACATGCCTGCACATACATACAAAATGAGCCTCCTGCCCTGAGCACAGAGCCTCTTTGGGGCTAAGACCTGGAGATTACTCCTGTCCAGTGTGTTTCAGAAGGGCTTGGAACGGCAGTCCTGCCATGCCTGCCTCTGACAGAGACTGAGTCCACAGCCTGTGCTCCAAGGGTGTGAAAACACTCTTTGAAGGAAGGTGTGAGTCACCTGTAATACAACTTACTTGGGATGTGGGAAGCATAATTCAACGACAACGTGAGGAGCCTGGGTACAAAAGCCCTCAAGACTCCATCTGCAACTAACCGGCAAAATTCAGGCTGAAGTTGTGACTGAGGTGGGTACAACTTCTACCATGCTGCCATGACCAAAAGAGCTGAGCAAAAAGCCCAAGGCCCTGAAACCAAGTACACACACACACACTACAAGCAATAACTGGAAGTTTACCCTCAGCAGACACAATCCTGACACAAACTACCTAGCAGACATATACGGAAAATGTAAAATGTAGCAGCATTCCACACAAGGCCCTACTAAAAAGTGGTGACTGCCTGCATCTCAATCGGACAGTAACACTCGCGTCAAGCAAGTACAGTGCTTCCGTGGGCCACCAGGGCCAGAGAGGCAGGCACCTAATTGGAGGCCGAAGCAGAGCCTGCCTCTAAGAGTTAGTGGACTAAGGAGCACATAAGTAACTTCAATGCTCCTCTGGTGGGGACTCTGGCCGTGGGGCCTGGGCTTCCCAACTAATTAACCTTCCCCCACTCCTACCCGAAAAGCTTGGCGTCGGTGCAGTGCCACTATTTTAAGTGACTCCAGCCACAGGAGACAGCTCGGAGCAGCTGGCTGGCGGGGAAGGAAGGGGCCAGGAACTGCCTCAGTTCGCAGTTGGGAAAAACCAAAGCCTGGCCCAACAGCAAGCAGCACCCGCGCGGACGCCGGGCCCAGCCCCGCGGCCTCTCCCTCTCCCGCCTCGGTTTCCCCGTCCGTGCCCCGCCTTTCCCAAGGAGTAGCAGAAATGAAAAGGAAGGGCTGGGCTTGGGGGCCGGCGCAGGAGGACCGCCGGGCTCAGGACCCGCGTCCCGAGGTGTGCGGGG